GAAACAGTGTACATCTTGGATTTTCTTGAACCCATCTTCTACCTTTGAGAATTAGAGGTTGGAGAAAAAGAGCCAGGCATAGGAACATAGTGTATATTTAAACATATAGGGTTGGGTCATTGCTCCAGCAAGCCTGATTTTTATTAATTTGTATTGCCATAGCTACTGGGAGCTGGTAACTAGCACTTGTTGCTTCAAAGGAATGTAGAAATGTACCATCCCAAAATTTACATAGCTAATGGCATAGTGAAATGTACATTGGTAAATAAAATTCTCTTGAGCCCTGCAGTGCAGAGTTTATACCTTGGAGTTTGAGGTTACACTAACCCTGTTTTAACATAAATAATGCCATATATTTAACATAATGTAAACAAATGGGATAATTATCCTGCAAACACGTTCTCTACAATACAGTTATGGGCACATCAGCATATGTTTTATGTTCCATTCAGTCTTTTCAGAAGTTATTACTAAGAAAAAAATAAAGGTTCACACCCTTATTCTGAAGATGTGTTAGCTGGAGTTGATGGACACTTCCCTCTGCTCCCTCATTTGGGATGTTTTAGGTTATCTAATGCCCACTTAGGGTCTTTTTTTAATTTCTCAGTAGGAAACTGAGAGTACTGTTTATGGTTTTCCAGCTGTCACTGTCTTCTTTTTTTAACCCACTTTCATAAAATCTTTTGGGTATAAGATATCTCTATGCCAACTAATCAAGCTTTGCAAAACTTTGCTCCTCAAGTGTGAGTAAGTCATTTTCAGTATAGATTTAAAAAATATTTTTTTTTATCATTAGTATTATGGTTTGAGTAAGTAGATGTCCTTGGCTGGTAAGCTTTTTTGGTAATTTTGCAAGACCTACTTAATCCTTTTATTTTTCTTCCCTCTTCCACCTAATCAGGAAGGACTTAATTATTTCTTAAGCATCTCTGATAGTTTAATATCTTCTGTAGTCTTGAAAATCTGTAGTGATGGCCATTCTTTAATTCCTTGGCAATTTATAACATTGTATGTCTACTTACATATAAATATTTTCCTAAATTAACACTTTTTTTGTCTCTAGTTTATTCTTCTGTTCTCGTTAATTCTTATCTCAATTATCCACATTAATCAACTGTTCTCTTAATAGCATAGCTGTCCATATATTGAGTCTAGAACAAGACTAAGATGAGACAGGAACAATCCTCATTCTTTTAATCTTTCCTCAGAGATTTGATCTTGCTAAACCTCCGTTGTTGCTCTCCTATGATATGAACTCTGTCAATCCAATTTCTAACTCTTCTCAATTTTTTTTCAATCCTTCTTTGAGGATGACTACTTGCTTTGAAACATTCCCTAAAAGATGTGAGGTATGCTTGCCCATCTCATCCCCAAAACAAACATGTCATCTCAAGATTTCTTGCCAGTTCAGTGAGTATAATTGGAAATCACTTCTGTCTTCTGTATTATAAGGCCACATAATGAGTTTCATTAATGGTAAGTGGAGTGGCTTTTTCTCCTCATGATCTGTCTCCATTCTTTCAAACTGGGGAGTGTTGGATGTATGTGATTCTAACACTTTAGTGTGGTTTTGTTCTTGTGTGTGATCTACTCTGACATTTTCATCTAGAGGTACCAATTCTCTATTTCCCTCCCTTTTTTGTCCCTCTGTGGCTTTGGGGACACTGAAAGAAAATTTTTTTTCTTGTTCTTCCTCTTTGATCCTGTTTGAATTCTTATTTCGCTGTCTTAGGGGAAAACTCCCTTAGATACTATGTCTCCTATGGTTTTCTAAAAGCACTGGGCTACTGCTGGCTATAAGGCTGGTGATTTTGCATAAGTTTTGTGCTTGAGGAAGAAAGAAAGAAATACTGGAGGACCCATGACAATATGCAACTCCTAATCCCATTGTAAATACTTGAGCACTCAACACTACCACTGGTTCAGTCGGCCTATACAGTGATAACTAAAACTAACAAAAACTGCAAACAAAATGCATCTTGTGGGTGAAAAATCTTTTTTTGTGGTTATACATTTTTTTGAGGGGTGGAGGCTTATGTATTTTACTCTTCTGTTTACATTTCTATATCATTCTTTATAATTTGAACCTGAAATTATATCTTAAATGCTAAATAAAGAAAGGGAATTTTGTGACATAGTAAGATCTGAAGATAATTTTCAAATTATGCACTCTTGTTTAAGACCAGTTTTCCAGTGGAGATGGTATCTGCCGCTTGCATTCTATATTGCTTTATCATTAATGAGTCAAAACTGCTAATCCTTCTTCAGTCTAGGAAGGAGTCTCTGAATATTCAGCTAAATAACATGTCACACACAACCAACTGGAACATTGTTTGAGCCAAATTAGGTGGTAGAAATAGACCTTATTTTTTTCCCCAGGTGCCCATTGTTGGCACTGATTTTTACTGAACCATGGCCCATCAAGTCACTCCTCTTTACATTTTGTTAAGATTCTCTCAGTTAGGAATGTATACAACCATTTTCATATTTAATGGGTGTACAAGTCATGGCATCTTGCAGAGACAAAAACTCATGCAGTATTAGGCCCTGCCTACACATACATTTGCACTGGTTTAGTTAATCTATTTTAATTAAACCAGTGAACCCCTGTGGGGACCCTCTTATTTTGATTTAAGAGTGAATTATTTTGGGTTAGCTCAAACATGTTCTTAATTAATTTAAGGTAAACTGAAAAGTTTGGTTTAAACTAAATAACTGTCCATACAGCCTTTTGTATTGGTTTAATTAAGGTGTGATGTCAACATTAATTTTATGTTTAAAGCAGTGCAATGCTGTAGGTAGGCCAGCTGTTACTGTTAACATTTGTCAGATACCTAGTGGAATAAGGATTTTCTCCATAGAAAAAAGTGACTTTTTTTTTTAACCTTGCCCTTGTATGCAACATGCAGATTGAAATAAGTAATCTTGGAATCCTGAGTTGCAGGTGACCTATGAAACTGATTAGCAACACTTCACACTATAGCTGAGTTTAAAAATAACATATTATGCTTTGAGTCAGATGTAAATTAGTGCATCAAATGACTCGCCTCCCTGAATCAAATTTTGTTTCTTTTCTCTGTTTTTTAATGTTAAAATTTATGGCTATATCTTTAAAACGTACCAGAACAAAGTTCAGTAGGAATCTTCATAAAAAAGAAACCCTAATCTTCAGCTTTTTGTTTTCTGCCTTTAGTTATGAATATAGTGGTTTCAAAGCTATGCATTTTGGAAATTGTGGGGTTTAGGTCTTGATTGAAAATCTTGGTGCGTTTCAGATCTGGGCTTTCATTTTAAAGTTTCTTTACAAGGTAGACTGAGACACTGCTATGAATCTCTCTGGTCACTCAATTACAGACCTAAAAGTTGCAATTCTTCAACAAAAAAACTTCAAAAACAGACTCCAAGGAGAGACTGCTGAATTGGAATTAATTTGTGAACTGGATACAATTAATTTAGGCTTGAATAGAGACTGGGAGTGGATGGGTCATTACACAAAGTAAAACTATTTCCCCATGTTTATTCCCCCCCTCAACCCCCCCACTGTTCCTCAAACGTTCTTGTCAACTGCTGGAAATGGCCCACCTTGATTATCACTACAAAAGGTGTGTCCCTCCCTCCCCCCTGCTCTCCTGCTAGTAATAGCTCACCTTAAGTGATCACTCTCGTTACAGTGTGTATGGTAACACCCATTGTTTCATGTTCTCTATGTATATAAATCTCCCCACTGTATTTTCCACTGAATGCATCCGATGAAGTGAGCTGTAGCTCACGAAAGCTTATGCTCAAATAAATTTGTTAGACTCTAAGGTGCCACAAGTACTCCTTTTCTTTTTATGAATCTGTAAGCAGACCTAGGTCTTGTCAATTCTGAAACTTAACTGTTTTAAAAACTGATTCCAGTTAATGTGGTTTGCCTGAGTGAGGAGAGGTAATATTTTTCAAGTGACTTTGTAGCTAGGCTGGCATGAAATGTTGTTTGGAATTTTTGTAAATAATTCTGTTTCTCCATTGTGCAGTCATACCCTTTTTAAACTAGGTTCAGGGAATACAATTTTGAGCATATTTCCTCTCTTCCCTACTTCTTCTTTTTCTCTTTCCCAGGAGATGTTGGCTTCAAAGTCAAATTATTATAATCTAACTGCTGAACAATGGACTGGGTACATCCAGCAATTGGATTTTCTTGCTGTGTCCCAGTGTTTCATAGAACACTGTGGCCAATACATCTGTGTTTAAGGTCTGGTCTAGACTACAGAGTTAGGTCGATGCAAGGCAGCTTACATCAACCTAACTGTAAGCATCTACACTAAAATGTCGCTCCTGCCGATGTAACTATGCTGTGCTATGCTGACTGAATAGCGCTTAGGACGATGCAGTGTCTGTATAGGCACTGCATTACGTACGTTGACTTTAGTAGCTTTTAGGAGGTGTCCCATAATGCCTGACTATGACCACTCTGGTCACCATTTTGAACTCCGCTGGCTGGCTGCTAGGTACACAGGTACATGCTCGTCTCCTTTTAAAGCCCCTCAGTTTTTTGAAATTCTGTTTCCTGGGTGTGGAGCACTCACCTAACAACTACCTAGCTGACCATGCTGGCTCCATGCTGCTGATACACTACTGCCTGGTGTACACAGGAAATAATGGACCTCTTGGGTCTGTAGGGCTAAGAGGCAGTGCAGGCACAGCTCTGCTCCAACCATAGAAACGTCAGTGTCTATGAGCAGATTGCTTGAGGTATGAGGGAGAAGGGCTACAAAAGGGGCCTGCATCACTTGCAGCAATGCTGTGTGAAATCTAAGGAGCTGCGGCAGGCGTTACAGAAGGCAAGAGAGGCTAACCGTCGCTTTGGTGCGGAGCCGCAGACATGCCATTTTTACAAAGAGCTGCATGCCATCCTCGGCGGAGACCCCATTACGAACCCCAAGAGCCCTGTGGATACTTCGGGGGAGATGGAATCACAGCCCTTGGAGTGAACAGCAAGGAGGAAGTGTTGGGTGAGAAGGGGTAGGATTATGGGGGACAGGTGTCAGGGGGATCCAGTGGTGCAGCGAGCCCGGCCTTTTTTTTTTGACTCCAGAGCAGTCGAGCCAGTCCCTACAGTCCAATATGGTGAACTTGATGCAGGGGAAGGAACTTCTGGTAAGTATGCAGTTTGCTTTGATATTACAGAGACACATCTGTTCATTTACTCTTTTTTTTAATCATGTTAGAAGAGGTAGTGAAATAACCCATAGAGACAGAGTCACTATTTGCTTCACATTTTCATGTAGAATAAGGCAGAAGGGGCCCTGCAGAACAGTTTGTTTTTGTGTACCAGGATGTCCCGTGAATCCTCCAAAGAGATCTTGAGGAAACTTTCCTGAAGGTAGTCCGCAATCCTCTAGGGATGGCTGCCTTATTTCTTCGGCAGCTGTAAGACACTTTCCCACACCACTTTGCAATTACTTCAGCAGGCACCATTGCAGCACACAGGGCTAGCAGCATACAGACCCAGTCTGCAGCCGGACACATGCAGGAGCTGTTCCTTTTCACCCTCCGTTACCCTCAGGAGTGAGATATCCGCTAAAATCACTACTGCCTGTGGAAAATGGTGTCAGTATTCAGTTCATTTTCCCTGTCCACATATACTGATTCCTGTATATTTCCTTCCCCCATCTCCCCACCCTGTATTGTCCCAAATTGCTCCCTCCCCTCTGGGCTGTACTCAATATGGCTGGGACTGCCGCCGTGCTCTGTGAATCCCAAAGAGAAGTGAGAATGTAGTGTTTGTAACTTGTGTGGATCAAGGGGAGTGAGTTCAGTATACCAAGTTTGCATTTATCTTGTGAATACACTCACAGGAGTACCTCTGTGCATTGTATCTTTTGCAGCTGGAAATGTGGCCTTGCAGTCTTTCCATCCACAGTAGTGGAGTGGCTCAGCCAGATGAGGAGGAGAAAGAAGAGGACGCAGGATGTCACGTTCCAAGAGATCTTGCAAGCCTCTGGTGCTTCAGATATCGAGCACAAGGCTTGTAAAATCCCCTAGCAGAATGAATGGACAGGGATAGTATGAAGAAGAGAAAAGCACAGGAAAAGGAGAGAGATATCCAGCAGGAGATGCAAGCACTTCTAAAGTAGCAAACAAACATGCTGGAGGCTCTTGTTGACCTTCAGGTTCAACAGACCCACGCTCTCCTCCCTCTGCAGCCCATAGAGAACTGCATTCTGGGACATCCCTGTGCACCCCCACATTCCACATGGTGTCTTGGGCTGCTTCAGCTACCCCTACCGCTCCACCCTGCGGGAGAGTACAGGCAATCACAGCCATACACTGACCTGTGAGAGAGACGGTTGTTGTATGTGTTGTGAAATGGAAATGACTGTTCTTTTCCCTGTATTTATAAAGTTTTGTTCAGTTATAAATGTCTGTTTGCATGAGTTTGGAATAAAAGTCCATTTATGGAAACTTAATTCATCTTTATTAGTTCACAACATATGCTGGCTGAAGCTGATATCGTTCACAGATAATAGCAATAGGTGCATTTGCAGTGTTATAGTACTACACACGCAACACTCCTTACAAGGTTCATACCGAGGTGCAAAAAAAAAAAAAAAAAAAGCCAGGCAGGGCACACTACAACAACACATGTTACTGTGGCTCACTGTGACAATGGTCTTTCAAAGCCTCTCTGAGCCGCATAGCTCCCTATTGAGTTCTTCTTATAGCCCTGGAGAAAGGGATAGGCAGAGTCTCCTAAGATCACTATTGGCATTTCAACATCCCTAATGGTAATTCTCTGGTCTGTAAAGAAAGTTCCTGCTTGCAGCTTTCTGAACAGGCCTGTGTTCTTAAACATGCATGTGTCATGCACCTTCTCTGACTAGACCGTGTTGATGTCAGTAGAACGTGCCCAGTGATCCTCCTGCACTTGCAGTACCACAGAAAAGTAGCCCCTTCTATTTATGTACTCTGTGGAAAGGTGGTCTGGTGCCAAAATAAGGATATGTGTGACATCTATTGCCTCACTGCAGTTGGGGAATTTCATTGCTGCAGAAGCATCCACTATGTCCAGCACATTGCTCAGAGTCACAGTCCTTCATAGTAGGATGAAATTAATAGCCCTGCACACTTGCATGATAGCAACTCCCATGGTGGATTTCCCAACTCCAAATTGATCCCTGACTACTGGTGTGGCAAGTCTTCGAGACACTGATCACCACTTGCTTTTGCATTGTCAGTGCAGATCTCATTTTGGTGTCACTGCTCCAGAGGACTGGGGCAAACTCCACACACACTTCCAGGAATGTGGCCTTGCACATCCGAAAGTTCTGCAGCTACTGCTCATCATCCCATACCCGCATAATGATGCGATTCCCACCAGTCAGTGCTTGTTTCTCGGGCTCAGAACTGGCACTTCACCATCTGCAGCTGCTCCATAAATGCCAACAACAACCGTGAATTGTTTCTTTCTATATTCCACAGCAAGCTAGCCACGAAGGAATTTGTCATGTTTCCCACAGCTCCTCTGGTGGCTCTGCAAATACTGCAGGATGAGGAGCATGATGTGCTCGCAGTGCTCATCACAGTAGTGCAGAGCTGTGCAGGATCCATGTTTCTCACAGAGATGGTGGATGTGTGGGTCTGCTGGGCTTTTGAAAAAAGATGCGACACATTATGGGATGCAGATAAAATTATGGGATGGAGAAAACTGAATCATGGCACGTTGAAATCATGTTCCCAGTAACCCCTTTGCAACTTGTTTGCTCCATGAAGCACTGCAAACCGTTCCCCAAACACCCAGCACTGGATGGTGGCAAGTTGCACAGTGGGATAGATACCCACGGTGCACTGTTCTCTGCATTGATGCAAATGCTAGTAGTGAGGACATGCACCACTGACAAGAGCATAGTATGGATGTGCAAAAGCGATTTAATTACTGTGGTGGCTGTATGTCGACTTAACTTAGGTCGACTTAATTTTGTAGAGTAGACTTGCCCTCAATAATAGAAAACAATGAGAGCTGGCTCTGATCTAGATTTTAAATAAGAGTACACATGGAGGGGAAAATAAAGAACAAAACAACCACATAAGGGGATATTTGCTGGATACTTAATTTTTCAATATAAACAGTAGATATGGCAGTTAATCTGCATATCCGTTTTATGAAATACTTTAGAATCAATGGGTATGAATAAAAGAGAGAGAGTTCATGTAGATTCTCCCACACACTCAGCAAAGCATTCCAAAATTTTAAGGGAGGTCTTATTTTGTTTTTCAGTTACTAATCTCTTTAAATACCAGTGTTAATTGATAGTGAATCAACACTGTGCAATAGTTATGGTTCTATTTTAGCTTCAATTAGAGATTTCTTAGTTAGTCAGTTTTGCAAACTGATTAGTTTAGCCTTCAATTTTCTACTGTGTTCAAACTCGGAGGTGACCTTTTTTTGAAAACCCAGGCGAAATAAATCAGTTTGTAGTTCATGCAAGTACATGTGGGTAATACTCTTGGCTGTATGTTCTGATCAAGTTTGAATTCAGGTAGCTCGACAACAACCAAAGGTAGATTAGATTTCCAACGAGAACTGAAACACAAACCAGGTTTGAAGAAAATTGGTTCAGTTTTAAACTTGAACACTTAAAGTTCGAAATTTCACAAATGCACAGTAGAATTTTAGTATGTTTTTAAATCCATTCAGCGTTTTGGGTTGGTTTTTACGCAATGAGTTGCTGCTTATGCAGATCTTCCTGTGGGATCTGTAGTCTTAAACTGACTCTCACCTTGACTGTAATCTGTTTCTTCTTGAAACATGCCAAATATATTGCAGGTTCTTTTGCTTTGGCCGTGATTTTCAGATAGTTGATGAAGGGCATTTTGCAAACACTATGTAGTTTCTTTTCTATCTTTGTTCTGTAGTTTTTTTTGGTTTTGGTCACATCATGATTGATCATGACAACTTGACCTGGCTAAGCCAACTTCGTCAATACTTGTTCTTAATTCAGGCAGCATTTTCTACTGAACTTCATACCAAAAAGGTTTGAAACTCGTAGGCTTGGAACGCTTCTCAACTCTTTTTCTCTTCTTACAGTGTTGGGATTGGAAAATGTTAACAGTATTTCCCTCTTCATCTGTATTACATAGTTCATTTTGAAGCATCACAAAGTATTTTAGGAAATCTGGAGTTAGCAATTGCTTTACTCACCAGTGCAACACAGTTAGCATTAGGGTGGAAACCAGTGGACAGATATACACAATACATCAGTTTTGGCAAAAGACACTGAAGCAAGCCTCATATCTTATTGAAAGTGCCATAAACTAGTCTTTTTAGTGGCCACAGAGCAAGCAGACTCTCTGGTCGGCTACTTGCATTTAGGTCTCATGCATTTGACCCCAACACAATAAATTGCATGGAATTCAGCTGCCATAGACTACCTTGTTTTCCTGCAGGAAAAAACTGAGTAGTGTCTGACAAATCGGTGTTCTCTCTATCCTTCCCTCAGTAATTTTGGCTGCAAGATATTGGTCTTGAGAAGGGGGAGGTGATAATAGTTGTGAAAATGTTTCCATCTCTGTTCATGTAGAGCTGTAGTGTGAAATAAAATCATTCTATATCTTGTCTTGCTTTCACTTCTCCAAGATGTGGGATCAGTTTGAAAAGTGGTGTATAAAATCAATCAGTATTGATAAAACCAGGCCCCATCCTAAAACTACAACACTGCTTTTGTGACTGGTTAGAGGCATGTTCATCTTAACAGGTTAGATGATTCAAAGTGTTGATACAGCAAGTCTTCTGCCATCACAGTCAGAGTTGCACATCCACACACAACCTTTTACATTTTTGTATGTTGCAGTCTGAGAAAATCTGGGCAGCTATCCCTAAATGCCTCTTCAAGAAATGAAGTACCCAGAGTTCGTTGTCACAAAGTAGAACCATTTATCTTATGGGATAATGCACTTTGGGATGTCCCTCCCTATGTAGCTAGGAAAGAGGAAGATTGGCTAACTTGGTAACACAGGCATGCTTAGGGTATCCTGTTAACACTCCGAAGAAAGTTTACTGAGCTAGCTAGGCTAACTTATAGCTAGCAAAACATGAGTTGCCATGATTATTAATAACAGTGTTTAAGTCAAAGGGTGTGTGGGGCCCATGTATAAAGCCAGCAGTATTATTAATTGAAAAACTCAGTTAAATTTGTAGTATGGACAGGACCTTAGTCTTTCAAGACCTACTTCATTTCCAGGTTTGGAAAATTAGTCAATGTTGACTTAATTCCTTTTCTTAAGATGTTTTCAAATGCTTTTAGATCCCTAACTCTACTCTTACCACCAGTTTCAAAGATACCAACTTATGGCAAACTGGGAAAATGGTATATAGGAGAACTTGAGACCACCAAAGGAGAGAAGCATCTGATTGTGATCCCAGGCTCAAGTTTCTTCTGGAGCAGAAGTGCAGGCATTTGGTATTATTTTCCATGACAAGTCTATGGCTTGAGTCCTGCACTGATGAAATATTGGCTCTGTGATGGACTTCTGCAGTGATCACTTATAGTTGGTTACTGCATGTTGTTAACACGATGTCCAAAGCCTGATGGCTTCCTGGCAGATGTAGGTATGATATTTTGAGGATCACCCAGACCGGGGTTCTGTCACTGCCTGCCCTGTAAGCTTGGGGTTCCTTAATGCTCTGCTGCAAGCTCAGAAGGAGCTTTGAGCGCCTTAACTTGGTTCCCTATCCTGCTGCTAGCCTTTACTTTTCATAATTAAATCCCCCCAAACTTTCTATTGTTTTGGTTTTAAATGTATAACACCACTTTACCAATTAGGAAAAGATGTGATTTTTTTAAAATCTTTTCCCTTTTGATTGGAGTTAGAATTAAAATGTCATCTGTTTTCACATTATCATTAATAATGTTCACATGGATACGGTCAACTTGGGATGGACTAGGGTTTAACTGCTGCTGTAAATAAATGTAGAAAATGTTTTTTGTAGGTCCTATCAAATGTGATAAACATCTTTAATTCTTGAATTTTTTAAAAACATTCATTTAAAATTTGAAGACATTTCCATCAGACTATAGCTATGAGAAAGTATATTAGATATTAAGATAAATTAAGTGTCTTTGAAACCCCTAATATAATATATTCTTTTAATGGGCACCAATTTAAATCATATTTTAGATTGAAAATATTTTGCCTAGTATTGTTACAAGTACCACCCACAATTACTGTAACTGTTAGTTTAGAATAAAACAATTGTTCAACTTTTTTAGCTCATTTACTCTGTACGTTCTGTTACTCTTGTCAAGGTTCCCTCTCCACTCTGAACTCTAGGGTACAGATGTGGGGACCCGCATGAAAGACCCCCCTAAGCTTCTTTCTACCAGCTTAGGTTAAAAACTTCCCCAAGGCACAAATCCTTTCTTGTCCTTGGATGGGTACTGCTGCGACCACCAAGTGTGTTAGACAAAGA